ACCAATGGGGTTATTTGAGGATGGGAAGTAACGAAAGTAGTCCCGTCACTACAATCAATAAGGACACGGTGAATATTTTACCCAATTTTCCAGGTACAGTTTACAATCAGATCAATTTATCATTAAATCTTACACAAAATCCCATTTAACTACTGCATAAAAATACGTTCTTCAACATATGTAATCGCACGCTTACCGGGTAATGGAGCGGGTGCTGTGTAGGAAAATGTTAACGATGCTCCCGAGTTTTGAAGGGTATGTCGCATTTTAAATATCAAACTATTGCAAACTATAAGAAATGTACCATTGTTCACGTTCTTACTGAGCTTAGTTTTGTTGAGACGGATCAATATTGTTTCGTACATCCCATTTTCTGAGTAGTCCTATACCTTAAGAAATAAAAACACAGATCAGCTAGTCAGGTACACACATCAACCCTGTCATTTATGATATCCCATTGAGGTACTTTGTTTATAGGGGGGTTGGGGTAATTTGCTGCTACGTTAGGCTATTCGACATACTTTTATATATATATATATATATATATATATATATATATATATATATATATATATTTATATATATATATATATATATATATATATATATATATATACATATATATATATATATATATATATATAAAACCCTATATATATACATACATATATATACATACATATACATATATATATACATATATATATATATATATATATATATATATATATATATATATATATATATATATATATATATATATAATATATATATATATATATATATATATATATATATATATATATTCTATAACTACATCTCTCATCAAAAAAGCACCACGACATTGCAATGCTGGTGTTGAAAGTGTTATAGAACGGCTTCTTGTGGAAAGAAGAGAAGAAATGGTGAGTCGGTTTAATTTGAGCAGCGGTAACTGAGCTGTGCACAACAACATATATAAATTACATTTTAAGAAATTAACGGAAGTTGAGAGTCGTTCTCTGTTTTTTTATTATTCAGTACTGTAGACACGATACTAGCGCTTCTTTACAGAATAAGGTACTAGTAAGGTACCGACATACCTGTTATCTTTTGTAATTAAATAATAATCAGTTCTCAAGCGCGTCTTTATGGTTTAATACCGCAATAAACAATCTAGAGGATTATTCGAATTGTAACCATAATGGAAAGGAAAACGCGTATAGACATATTTTTGAGGAAACTAATGAGACCTGGATAAGTTTATTGCTTCTATCCGTTCTAGTAAAAATCACGATGAACTTTCATAGATATAATAGCAGGTGATGGTGTTGTCTTTCGACTACCTACTAGAGCGGATGTTCCTGATTTTATAAAAAATTATAGCTACTAGAGTGGATTGTTTTCTGTTTTTATACAACGTGCAATTATTTTAGTAGAAATGCTATTTTTTACGCAAAGTACATATTTTAGTAGTAATGTCCACTCGATGACACGAATAACTGACCTGTAATGTCCACTCGATGCCACGATTAACTGACCTGTAATGTCCACTCGATGACTCGATTAACAGACCTGTAATGTCCACTCGATGACACGAATAACTGACCTGTAATGTCCACTCGATGACACGAATAACTGACCTGTAATGTCCACTCGATGACACGAATAACTGACCTGTAATGTCCACTCGATGACACAAATAACTGACCTGTAATGTCCACAAGATGATAAGAATAACTGACATGTAATGTCCACTCGATGACACGATTAACTGACCTATAAAACGTAGTCATTGGCATTTTACGTCCAACTCCGCATAAAAATATTTTTTCAATTAAACGTTTTCGACAAAATAATCCTAAATATTGTAATTATTTTCCCGTAAAATATTTTGTTGGAGATATTTTGTCCATGATATGTTTAGTTCAATATATTTTATTCTGAGATCTTTTGTCCGTGAGATGATTTGTCTTAGAGATCATTTACCCTGCTATTTTCTATTTTGGGATTTTTCCTTGAAATATTTTCCCCTGGGACTTGACGGAGGTGTAGTCGTATGGTATGAGGGTAGATGGCGCTAATGTTGACTCGAAATACCCAGGTTATTACCTGGATTAGCGTTCCTCTTCTTGCAAACATTACCCTGGTGTACCGAGCATACAAGCCAGGTACTGTCGCTATGTGCGTACAACATAGTCGATTTCTGGATTCTACATTATGTTTGGTGTGGCTTTTTCTCGTTTAGAGAATATCATGACTCACTTGAACAATAGACAATAAAATGTTTATTTTATATAAACAGTGTTTATAGTTTATAAACAGCTATATGTTTTTTTCTGTCTAGCCGAGAGCAAACACTCCATGGACGCCAAGAATTAACATTTTGCTAATCGGAAAAACTGGGAATGGCAAAAGTTCAACAGCCAATACCATAGTAGGATATAGAAGGTTTCCAGACCAGTCTTGTGCATCTCTCGCAAAGCAAAACATTGACTACCATATCACAGAGTACAAAGGGCGTCGTATAAAAGTCGTGGATGGTCTGACAATTTGTGATACCAAACTCGACAAAGAGCAGTCAGTTAAACAGATGATTGAGGACACACAATTGGCTCTGGCAGTCAATCCTGAAGGCTATCACGCCTTTCTTCTCGTCTTGAAATACGGCAATAGGTTCACACGTGAAGAACAGGAGACGGTTCAGATTTTAAAGAAAATATTCGGGGAAAATTTTGTTCGAGATTATTGCATTTTAATCATCACTGGCGGGGATGTTTTTCTTGCAGAAAAGAAGGCCAGTGGCATTTTCGGATATACCTTCATAGAGTGGTGCAGTTTTCAACAAGGCGCCTTTAAGGATTTGCTTGATGAATGCCAACACAGGGTAATGGTATTTGACAACACATGCTCCTATAAGTACACAGGAAATTGTGTTGATATTTTGATGATGTTCATTGAGGAGTTACTCTGCAATAGAAAGTACGATCTGTCTAAAAGATTTGAGCAAATTAAAGACACCATTGTAATCGAGCTAACGAATCTGAAAACAACCGATGAGTCCGCTACAGAAGAGGAAAGTCCTAACGTTGATCTGTCACAAGTCTCACACGGCACTAGTGAGCCAAAAGACATACCACGTGACAAGATTCTGGGTCACAATAAGACAGTACATGAAATACTAGCTAAGCAGGAAGAATTATCAGGAGGTTTTCGAGAACTCGCTCAAACCTTGGAATCTCTACAAAAACAGGTTTCTGATGAAAGCGCTTTCTCTCGCAAGTGTATTGAAGAAATGCAACTAAGTCGACAACATGAAGAAGAAATGAAAATTAACTTTGAAACACAGCTAAAAAATCAAAAAGAGTATTATGAAAATCTGATTGTCGATATGAAACAAAAGCATCAAAAGAGCAATGCAGATTTAGAAAAAATAATAGAAGACTTTATTACTCACACAAGTGAACATAGGTAATGGGACAGGAAAAACAGAGTGAGAAAAGTTGGAAAACGCGAATCAAGCAGATAAAGGAAGGCATTAAGCGGCTGGAAACTGTACAAAGACATTTTTTCTAGAATCGTGTTAGGGCATTTAAAATCTACCATTGTGTGCACAGTATTGCCGAACCCTGTTTTGCACTATCTAATTTTACATCTGAAATAAAGTAATTACCTGCATATTATTGTCTTTTGTTGACAATTTTCCAATTATTTAATGTTCTATGTTTTTAGAGTTTGTTGCGTTTTGATTTATTGCATATTTAATTATGTAGGCCTACTCTCAAGTATTTGACTGTTGATTTGAAAATATAAAAATGGTTACTCTACTCTATACAACAAGCCATGGGTACCCGTTTCACGTGCATTATAGGCATATATATTTAATGTTATATTTGTTTGGAAAAAATATATAAAGTAAACATTTTGTTTAAATTCAATTTGCTTTACTACACGTTAAACGATATTAGTGACAAAACAAAGAATTAACTAAATAGCTAAAACTCCGACACATTTAAAATAACATAGACCACCAATATATTATTATACATTATTAGTCAACACAACACCATATTAAATGCACACAGCTATCATTGACAATCAACAGAAAAATGGTTCCGTTAAAAACTCGGCCGTTCAATGGTATTTATGTTGTTTTTTAAAGTAATTTGTATTACTTTTGGCCGAGAAAATTGTATACATTTTATAGCGACCGTGTTGATAAGTATATCTATATTTCTAAATCAATTTTGAATGAAATAGTTCATTTTTTCATAATCTAAAATTTGAAGATGAAACCATTAGTTTTGTGTTCTTTCCTTATATTAACAATGAAAATAAACTATTTAGTTAACCGGTCTAGTTTAAAACAAGAGAGCGTGGTCGCATGTTAGAGGGATGGCCTGCTAACCGAAAGACTAGAGTTCGGACTGTGGGGTTATGTTCACATGACGTCGTAAGCCTACCCACCTTTGATGGCACCTCAAAAGTTGCTGCGGCGGGGCAAAGTGCTGAGCATAGCATCCATTCATAATCTGCGCCCGAAAAGCCAGGTGAACTCTACTTCATCCATCGCATGGACTGCCATGGACATGGTAACTTTATTTTTGTTTATTTAATTTAAATAGTTTTGGTTACCAAAAGTGTTTTTCTTGTCATACAGGAACACACGAATCATGGGAATCTCCATTACTTACACTAGCGATTCCATCAATAAATGTGGTTTATCAAATGACCGAAACTGTTGTAAACATATACAGGCTTACATACGGTTTATCAAATGCTAAATTATTTTGTATTGTACTTCAAATTTTGGAACTTCTTTGTGCAAAATCTTAAAGTAGGCTATTTATAAATAGCTATGAATTTATAAATAAACGGTTGACCTACTACTTTAAGAAACTAATTTATTAGAAACCTATACATAGCCTTGCACGCCACAAATACCTAACCTTGCTAGAGTTTAAACACCACAGATAAAATATATCATTGTTCACTTTTAACCATGCGCACCGTGTACAAAAACCCGTCACACCAATTCCGCATCAAGTGTTGGAAAGTTGACATAATTACATTGTCCTTCTTAAGGACAAAATTTGATATCAAGGACAATAATCTTTACTAATATTACTTGTATCGAAACGTTTTTCGAATTGGAGTCTAAAATATAAATTAAGAAGGTAAATGTAAAAAGTGAATCTTAAACATCATTTACTCTTGTGATTTTAAGGTTTAAATTCTATTTTATATACGACAATCTTATAAATTATAAAAATAAGTATCGAAAAACTAGTACACTAGATCTAGATCTAGATTCTAGATCTAGTTTCTAGATCTAGATCTAGTGTAGGGCACTTCTAGGTAGTTGAATACGTAGACACTGAGTAAATTTTATTTACCAAATATAACAAATATACATATGCAATCAAAACAAACGAATTTTATAAGTTGAAAGTTATACTTCTAGTTGACAATATCGTTGTAGAGTTTTAATATACTCAACAATACATTTTAGTTAATAAATGTGTTGCTAGGAGAAGGAATGTAGCTGTACGTTATAAGTTGTAAGTAGTAATTTAAGCATGTCTTATTTTTGTCTCATACCATTTATATCCACAATCATTACAATGTTTTATATTTAGCCTGTTGAAATACATTAAATAAAAACATGCTTTTTCAATGTTATGTTTGCAGTATTCAAAGACTTTTTTTTGTGAACCGTTTAAGGAAGTACGCCGACCATAGGGTCATATGTGGTGGAAAGTGGGAAGAATAATCACCGTATTGGGGGGGGGGGGGGAGGGGAGGGGGAGGGAGGGGGATAAAATATTGACCAAATGGGGGGGGGGGGAAGAATGTCGATCATATTGAGATAGAGGTTGGTAGTACAGGTTTAATCACATGGTCCTACAGTGGGGGGGGGGGGGGGAGGGGGGGGGTCTGCATGAATTCTGTTGGAATACGATAGAAGGTGTATTTATTGACTGAATGTGAGGGGCAGGACAGAAAAGTGATTGCATACTCCTGCTGGTACAGGTGTCAAGTTGTATGTTGACCACTAGTCGTTTGTAGAGATGTCAAGTTGTATGTTGACCACTGGTCGCTGGTAGAGATGTCAAGTTGTATGTTGACCACTGGTCGATTGTAGAGATGTCAAGTTGTATGTTGACCACTGGTCGCTGGTAGAGATGTCAAGTTGTATGTTGACCACTGGTAGCTTGTAGAGATGTCAAGTTGTATGTTGACCACTGGTCGATTGTAGAGATGACAAGTTGTATGTTGACCACTGGTCGATTGTAGAGATGTCAAGTTGTATGTTGACCACTGGTCGCTGGTAGAGATGTCAAGTTGTATGTTGACCACTGGTCGTTTGTAGAGATGTCAAGTTGTATGTTGACCACTGGTCGTTTGTAGAGATGTCAAGTTGTATGTTGACCACTGGTCGATTGTAAAGATGTCAAGTTGTATGTTGACCACTGGTGGCTTGTAGAGATGTCAAGTTGTATGTTGACCACTGGTCGCTGGTAGAGATGTCAAGTTGTATGTTGACCACTGGTCGATTGTAAAGATGTCAAGTTGTATGTTGACCACTGGTGGCTTGTAGAGATGTCAAATTGTATGTTGACCACTGGTCGCTGGTAGAGATGTCAAGTTGTATGTTGACCACTGGTCGTTTGTAGAGATGTCAAGTTGTATGTTGACCACTGGTCGTTTGTAGAGATGTCAAGTTGTATGTTGACCACTGGTCGTTTGTAGAGATGTCAAGTTGTATGTTGACCACTGGTCGTTTGTAGAGATGTCAAGTTGTATGTTGACCACTGGTCGTTTGTAGAGATGTCAAGTTGTATGTTGACCACTGGTCGTTTGTAGAGATGTCAAGTTGTATGTTGACCACTGGTCGATTGTAAAGATGTCAAGTTGTATGTTGACCACTGGTGGCTTGTAGAGATGTCAAGTTGTATGTTGACCACTGGTCGCTGGTAGAGATGTCAAGTTGTATGTTGACCACTGGTCGTTTGTAGAGATGTCAAGTTGTATGTTGACCAGTGGTCGTTTGTAGAGATGTCAAGTTGTATGTTGACCACTGGTCGTTTGTAGAGATGTCAAGTTGTATGTTGACCACTGGTCAGTTGTAGAGATGTCAAGTTGTATGTTGACCACTGGTCGTTTGTAGAGATGTCAAGTTGTATGTTGACTACTGGCCGCTGGTAGAGATGTCAAGTTGTATGTTGACCACTGGTCGCTTGTAGAGATGTCAAGTTGTATGTTGACCACTGGCCGCTGGTAGAGATGTCAAGTTGTATGTTGACCACTGGTCGATTGTAGAGATGTCAAGTTGTATGTTGACCACTGGCGGCTTGTAAAGATGTCAAGTTGTATGTTGACCACTGACCGCTTGTAGAGATGTCAAGTTGTATGTTGACCACTGACCGCTTGTAGAGATGTCAAGTTGTATGTTGACCACTGATCGCTTGTAGAGATGTCAAGTTGTATGTTGACCACTGGTCGTGTGTAGAGATATCAAGTTGTATGTTGACCACTGGTCGATTGTAGAGATGTCAAGTTGTATGTTGACCACTGGTGGCTTGTAGAGATGTCAAGTTGTATGTTGACCACTGATCGCTTGTAGAGATGTCAAGTTGTATGTTGACCACTGGTCGTTTGTAGAGATGTCAAGTTGTATGTTGACCACTGGTCGATTGTAAAGATGTCAAGTTGTATGTTGACCACTGGTGGCTTGTAGAGATGTCAAGTTGTATGTTGACCACTGGTCGCTGGTAGAGATGTCAAGTTGTATGTTGACCACTGGTCGTTTGTAGAGATGTCAAGTTGTATGTTGACCAGTGGTCGTTTGTAGAGATGTCAAGTTGTATGTTGACCACTGGTCGTTTGTAGAGATGTCAAGTTGTATGTTGACCACTGGTGGCTTGTAAAGATGTCAAGTTGTATGTTGACCACTGACCGCTGGTAGAGATGTCAAGTTGTATGTTGACCACTGGTCGATTGTAGAGATGTCAAGTTGTATGTTGACCACTGGTGGCTTGTAAAGATGTCAAGTTGTATGTTGACCACTGACCGCTGGTAGAGATGTCAAGTTGTATGTTGACCACTGACCGCTTGTAGAGATGTCAAGTTGTATGTTGACCACTGATCGCTTGTAGAGATGTCAAGTTGTATGTTGACCACTGGTCGTGTGTAGAGATGTCAAGTTGTATGTTGACCACTGGTCGATTGTAGAGATGTCAAGTTGTATGTTGACCACTGACCGCTGGTAGAGATGTCAAGTTGTATGTTGACCACTGACCGCTGGTAGAGATGTCAAGTTGTATGTTGACCACTGGTCGATTGTAGAGATGTCAAGTTGTATGTTGACCACTGGTGGCTTGTAAAGATGTCAAGTTGTATGTTGACCACTGACCGCTGGTAGAGATGTCAAGTTGTATGTTGACCACTGACCGCTTGTAGAGATGTCAAGTTGTATGTTGACCACTGATCGCTTGTAGAGATGTCAAGTTGTATGTTGACCACTGGTCAGTTGTAGAGATGTCAAGTTGTATGTTGACCACTGGTCGATTGTAGAGATGTCAAGTTGTATGTTGACCACTGGTCAGTTGTAGAGATGTCAAGTTGTATGTTGACCACTGGTCGTTTGTAGAGATGTCAAGTTGTATGTTGACCACTGGTCGTTTGTAGAGATGTCAAGTTGTACATTAACCACTGGTCGTTGGTAGAGATGACAAGTTGTATGTTGACCACTGGTCGTTGGTAGAGATGACAAGTTGTATGTTGACCACTGGTCGTTTGTAGAGATGTCAAGTTGTATGTTGATCACTGACTTCTGGTAGAGGTATCAAATACTACATTGGCCACTGACCTCTAGTAGAGGTATGGAGTAGTACATTTACCACCGACCGCTAGTAGAGGTGTAGAGTAATACATTGGCCACTGACTTCTGGTAGAGGTGTCAAATAGTACATTGGCCATTGACTTCTGGTAGAGGTGTGGAGTAATATATTGGCCACTGACCGCTAGTAGAGATATCAAATAGTACATTGATCACTGACTTCTAGTAGAGGTGTAGAGTAGTACATTGACCACTGACTTCTAGTAGAGGTGTGGAGTAGTACATTGACCACTGACCGCTGGTTGAGTAGTACATTGGCCACTGACCTCTAGTAGAGTTGTGGAGTAGTACATTGACCACTGACCGCTGGTTGAGTAGTACATTGGCCACTGACCTCTAGTAGAGTTGTGGAGTAGTACATTGACCACTGACCGCTAGTAGAGGTGTAGAGTAGTACATTGGCCATTGACCGCTAGTAGAGATATCAAATAGTACATTGATCACTGACTTCTAGTAGAGGTGTAGAGTAGGACATTGACCACTGACTTCTAGTAGAGGTGTCAAATAGTACATTGACCACTGACTGCTGGATTGATCTGTTGACCACCTACTGTAGGTAGGATGTAATTCACCCGTGTCAAGATGCGCTATATTTGACTGTAGAAAACGGGTTAATTTTAATGAAATGTAAAGTAGCTAACTTAATTCTATTTCTTGGCTCTAAACTATAAGCAATTAGCTGTAAAAAAAAAACAAAATGCTTAGATCTCATATATAATTTAAAATTAGATTTATCACCATAGCAAAAGAAACATCATGGTCGGATGTTATAGGGCTTGTAAGTAGGTCACAAACAATTTCTACTTCTCAATAAAACCTGCAGGAGCCATAGAACTGATTGATGACTTACTTCATTGATGACTTACTTACAGTCATCGCCTGTTAACCCGAATGACTCGAGTTCATATTGTGGACTCATGTCTGTAGCATGTCTTTAAGTCTACCCACCATTGATTGGCACCTAACGCACGTTACTGGGGCCTGCGCTAAGTGCTGAGCACAGTATCTCTTCATGATCCGACGTCACAGAAACAAGTGAGCCATATTTCATCAACCGTGTGGACTGCCATTTATTTTATTTCAATGAATTAGTTTCGACCACTTCATGTCTTGTCTTGTCTCACAGGTAAAATGAACCATGGGAATCAGCCAAAGCTCTCCAAGTCCTTCAATCAATGAGGACTCCGTGGATGTTTCACATAACGCTCCAGGTATAATTTACTAGAGATTCGATTCATCATTAAAATTTATACTGTTTCACATGTGTCTTCTACAAAAGCAACCAATCTTCCTCCACATTACTGGTCGCCTGTAAATATCACAGGACTTCTGGCGCTATCGATGGGTTTTATCTGAGTGTGATTACTTTCCATCCTTTAAAGGATTTTTCAGATTAAAAAAAAACAGACTTGTAATTATAACAAAATCAATAACGTAGCGAGGGGTGGGGGGCGGGGGTACATATGTCCCCGGGCGCCGACCTTAGAGGGCGCCAAAATGGGTTGGAAAAATAAATTTAAAGGTTGAGGGGGGTGCAAATTGAAAGTTTGAGGGGCGGGAGGGGTTGGTGCAAATCGAAATCTTGAGGGGGGTGCAAATCGAAAAGTTTGTCCCCGGGCGCCGGGAAGGGTCGCCACGCCTCTGAACAAAATGTACGAATAATTAATAGATGACGATTTTCTTTGTTATCTGCCAGCTTATACATACATACATTATATATATATATATATATATATATATATATATATATATATATATATATATATGTATATACAATATATATATATATATATGTATATACAATATATATATATATATATGTATATACAATATATATATATATATATATATATATATATATATATATATATATATATATATATATATATATATATATATATATATATATATTGGACTATATATTTAATCTCCAGTCACTTCATCGAGCAGTTGCAGTGGACTAGAATTTGATTCGATTGCCGAAGAAGTATCGTTCGAGAGGGAAGAAAAGATGGTATGTTTATATAAGAGCTTATGGAGAGAAAATAAACTGTGAGCAGATGTTGAGTACAAATGTGAATAAATTACATTTTTAATTAGATTTTTTACCCATCGTTAATATTTTAGTAGAAATTACCTGTCTATGACACCGATAAAATATCTAATAACAAAATAATAACAAAACATGTTTCTTATATAAACTGTGTTTATATTTTATTTATAGCTATATTATGTATATGTTTCTTTCTCTAGCCGAGAGCCGAGACACAGAAGGGCCCAAGGGTTAACATCCTCTTAGTTGGAAAAACTGGAAACGGCAAGAGTTCCACAGCCAATACCATCGTGGGGAAAAAACGTTTTTCTAACAGGTCAGGTACATGTCGCTCAAAACAACAAATCGACTACCATATCACAGAGTTCAAAGGTCGTCATATTAAAGTCGTTGACGGTCTTACGGTGTGTGATACCGGGCTAGACAATGAGAAGTCAGTCGCACAGCTGATTGAAGCCACGAAGATGGCTCTAGCAGTCACCCCTGAAGGATATCATGCCTTTCTTCTGGTGGTAAAATACGGCAATAGGTTCACACGGGAAGAACAGAACACAGTGCAGATTTTAAAGAAAATATTCGGGGATAATTTTATCCGAGATTTCGGGATTTTAATCATCACGTGCGGGGATATTTTCGAGCAAGAAAGGGAAGCCAAAGGCAGCGACGGTTTGACCTTCACAGAGTGGTGCCAAGGTCAACATGGAGCCTTTAAGGAGTTAATGGATGAATTTGCTGACAGAGCGCTCATATTCGACAACACGTGTCACTCCAATAGAGAAATAGATAGCCATGTTGACGCTGTGTTGTCAACCATTGATGACTTACTCGGCGAAAGGCGATACAACCTTTCAGAGAGAATTCAGCAAGTTAACGATAGCATTGCAGCAGATCTAAAGAGACTGATGGCAGCCGGTGAGACAACGGTCACAGAAGAAAGTCCAACTAATGACCAGCCGCAAGCAACACAAGGCTCTAGTGAGGCAGACGTCTTAACACCGCAAGCCAAGATCTCACCTCAAACCAAAACAGACCAGGAAATACTGGCCAAACAGGAAGAATTTTCAGGGACTCTTCAAGACATGGCAAGAACCCTGGAATCTGTACAGAAACAGATTTCTGAAGAAAGAGAGCGGTCTCAGAGATATGCTGAAGAAATAAAACAATATCGGCAGCATGAAGAAGAGATGAAAATAAACTTTGAAAACGAGCTGACTATTCAAAGAGAGAAATATGAAAATCTGATTGAAGAACTGAAGCACGAGCAACAAAAGAGATTTGATGATATAGAAAGAAGAATGCAAGAGATGGCCACACAGAAGAGACCATAGCTAATGACACAGGAGTAAAAACCGCTATAAGAAAGTTTAATACCGAATATAGAAAATGAAAAGTTTAACAGCGTGAGGCAAGTACCTATTAAGGAATGAACTAAGAATCTGGAAAATATTCAAAAAACTTTCCCTGGAATAACATTAGTGCCATTAAAATTTACCGTTACAGGTAAAGTTATGTCGAACAGTATGAGTTGAAACAAAGTGTTATTTTTCAAACTTAATTAATTAAAGTCATTACCTGCGATTTTTCGCGTTACGTTAAATATTGTATTTTTAGGTTTTGTTTTGATTAGATTTAGAGCTTAAAAAACGATGTACTCCATGTACTATATTGTTTAAGTGAGAATATAAAAATGGTTAGAAACAGTATGTATACAAATGAACGCTATACGCAGCTAATGTGTACTACAACAGTACAAAGCCATCTAGGGCTAAATGCAGGTTTCCCTGAGTTGTTCTCAAGACAAGACATCAGTAGACTTTTCCAAAATACGAATCGCGCATAGAATATAACAAGCATTTACTACGTTCACTATTTCTATGGGTTTGTGGGAAATCTTGTAACTCAACTTCCAGGAACTTCTATTGAAGGGATTGCGGTCTAGCTTTTCAGATACGCTCTTCTTCAATGACAAGACGAGTAATATATATTTTTAACATTAGATTGGTCATTAACATTTAACTTAAATATTGCTATATTCAATAGTCAAATGGGAGATAACGCCAATAAATACCAGCTATCGCTCGAGCATATACTCACCGAGGGTGAAAATTTTGTCACGGCTGATTGAGTTCTTGCCTGAGCGTAGACCACGAACCAAGTAGGCACAGATAACTGTTGTTGTTTTTTTTAAGCTCACAAGCTAATGTTCGGGTTTTAACGCAAAATTTTAAGTCCATGAACTTGTTGAATAATGGACTAAAAAGTGAGAAAAATATTTAAAAGCGCTTATAAGAACAAGCTTTTAAATGCACTGGAAATAAGAAAATAAAGCAATGTTGCTTTCTTTAATATAATCTTATGTCGCTCATCAAATCTCTTACATATTTTACAAAGCTGTTATAAAAAAACAAGTTTGTTTATTTATTTATTTCAATGCATTTCAAAGGGTGTTATTATAATGGTTTTTATAAGTATTTATTTTTAACGTTTTCTATATTCTAAACCATAACCAGATATTGAAACCATCTCTTGCACTGATTTTCTTATTTTTGAATACGTGAAAACCGTTATAATTATTTTAAGATTAGTTTTCGATGTCTTTTTTGTACAAACACGCATGTCATCAGATAAATGATGACATGCTTCGAGGTAGGAAACTAGTTAAAGAAATAACATAGCGGTAGGATAAAACAGAAAACTTTGAGAGACATAGACCGAGCTACCACTGACCATACCACACACAGTACTTGATACAAATTACACAAACGTGGGGCAGGGTACAAGTTCATCTTATGAAATACAAATAGCCTAGAACATATCAAAGGCCAGACAAATGAGCAGAACGAGAAACAGCAACTGATGGAGTTTGTCTTGTGTCTGGGAGTAAGGAATATCAAGGTACTAACAACAGATGAAACCAAATATGGAAATTTTGAAAGTCAAGAATCTGGTGCAGGGGTTGGTGGCAGTTCCCCAACCAAGCAAACCCCTTCTCTTATCAGATACATCTCTCATCAGCTCACCAACCAAGCAAACCACTTCTCTTATCAGATACATCTCTCATCAGCTCACCAACAAATCTCATTTTACTTACACTTACACCTAAAATATAAAAAAAACAGAATGTAACACACGTTATTTTTTTAAAATAAAGAAACTGATTCATGAAAAAAAATCATTGAATCATGAAAAACTAAATAAAAATAAAGTGGTTCAAACAGCTACATTTCCTAAGCTATGTGTACACGGCTTAAAAATATACTTACATTGAAAATAATGAAACAGAACCAAATCGGCTAATTAGATCTAGCTATTTTTCTGGAAAATTAAATACTGGAATACATTAATATAAATACTACAAAAACAATATTTTCTTTTTTGTTATCTAAGTTTATGTTTGCGCACCATGATCAGAAAATCAAGCACCATTTCTGCACGGCGTGTTTAAAAAACTGACGTATTTATATTGTCTGGCATAAACACTCTCATTTTCGTCTGAAAGAGAAAATTCTTTATTAGATCTAGCCTACTCTCTACTGTAGTGTTGTCAACGTGAATCCTACAGGTTGAAGTGGTAAAAATAACATATTTACTAATTAAGTATTGTGAGTTTTGTAATTAGATCTCTAAAACTCTAAATACAATCGTTTTACACGCGACATAGGCCTACGTATGTCGAATGAAGATCTAAATCTAGATCTAGATCTAGATCTAAATCTAGATCTCTAAAACTAGACAAGAGCCAGAAATTGTGTTCTAAAGTCTCTGGTTTAATTAGATAATAAAGTAACACATTCAATTCTCCATGTAAAGTATAAAAATTTGGTGAATGTTTAAAATGATCGCAAATTAAAGTAGGTTGTGATTTTAGCGACTCAAGTGGGTCACATATGTTGCTGAGGTTGTGTTAGTCACATATGTTGCTGAGGTTGTGTTAGTCACATATGTTGCTGAGGTTGTGTTAGTCACATATGTCGCTGAGGTTGTGTTGGTGACATATGTTGCTGGTGTTGTGTTGGTCACATATGTTGCTGAGGTTGTGTTGGTCACATATGTTGCTGAGGTTGTGTTAGTCACGTATGTTGCTGAGGTTGTGTTGGTCACATATGTTGCTGAGGTTGTGTTAGTCACATATGTTGCTGAGGTTGTGTTGGTCACATATGTTGCTGAGGTTGTGTTGGTAACATATTTAGCTGAGGTTGTGTTGGTAACATATGTTGCTGGTGTTGTGTTGGTCACATATGTTGCTGAGGTTGTGTTGGTGACATATGTTGCTGATGTTGTGTTGGTCACATATGTTGCTGAGGTTGTGTTGGTCTTATATGTTGCTGAGGTTGTATTAGTCACATATATTGCAGATGTTGTTTTGGTCACATATGTTGCTGATGTTGTGTTGGTCCCATATGTTGCTGAGGTTGTGTTGGTGACATATGTTGCTGATGTTGTGTTGGTCACATATGTCGCTGAGGTTGTGTTAGTCACATATATTGCTGAGGTTGTGTTGCTCACATATGTTGCTGAGGTTGTGTTGGTCACATATGTTACTGATGTTGTGTTAGTCACATATATTGCTGAGGTTGTGTTGGTGACATATGTTGCTGAGGTTGTGTTAGTCACATATGTCGCTGAGGTTGTGTTAGTCACATATGTTGCTGGTGTTGTGTTGGTCACATATGTTGCTGAGGTTGTGTTGGTCACATATGTTGCTGAGGTTGTGTTGGTCTTATATGTTGCTGAGGTTGTATTAGTCACATATATTGCAGATGTTGTTTTGGTCACATATGTTGCTGATGTTGTGTTGGTCCCATATGTTGCTGAGGTTGTGTTGGTGACATATGTTGCTGATGTTGTGTTGGCCACATATGTTTCTGAGGTAGTGTTTATAACACATATTGCTGAGGTTGTGTTGGTCACATATGTTGCTGATGTTGTGTTGGTCACATATGTTGCTGAGGTTGTGTTGGTCACATATGTTGCTGAGGTTGTGTTGGTCACATATGTTGCTGAGGTTGTGTTGGTCACATATGTTGCTGATGTTGTGTTGGTCACATATATTGCTGAGGTTGTGTTGCTCACATATGTTGCTGAGGTTGTGTTGGTCACATATGTTACTGATGTTTTGTTGGTCACATATGTTACTGAGGTTGTGTTGGTCACATATGTTGCTGAGGTTGTGTTGGTCACATATATTGCTGAGGTTGTGTTGGTGACAATAGCTGCTGAGATTGTGTTGGTGACAAGAATTACTGAGGCTGTGTTGCTATCATATGTTGCTGAAGTTGTGTTGGTCACATATGTTGCTGAGGTTCTGTTAGTCACATATGTTGCTGAGGTTGTGTTGGTGACAATAGTTGCTGAGGTTGTGTTGGTCACATATGTTGCTGATGTTGTGTTGGTCACATATGTTGTTGAAGTGATGTTGGTCGCATATGTTGCTGATGTTGTTTTGGTCATTTATGTTGCTGCGGTTGTGTTGGTCACATATCCAGCATAGTGTGCTCTAAATGTTTCATATGTAAATGATGTGAAGCGAGAAAATTCATGGTAAACTTTAGCTACTCGATGATATAAATTTCATTTATTTTTCATTCAGATACATACTCTTTCATTCAGATACATACTCTTTCATTCAGATACATACTCTTTCATTCAGATACACACTCTTTCATTCAGATACACACTCTTTCATATAGATACACACTCTTTCATTGAGATACAAACGCTTTGATTGAGATACAAACTCTTTCATTCAGATACAAACTCTTTCATTCAGATACAAACTCTTTCATTCAGATACAAACTCTTTCATTCAGATACAAACTCTTTCATTCAGATACACACTCTTTCATATAGATACACACTCTTTCATTGAGATACAAACGCTTTCATTTAGATACAAACTCTTTCATTCAGATACAAACTCTTTCATGCAGATACAAACTCTTTCATTCAGATACAAACTCTTTCATTCAGATACACACTCTTTCATTCAGATACACACTCTTTCATATAGATACACACTCTTTCATTGAGATACAAACGCTTTCATTGAGATACAAACTCTTTCATTCAGATACAAACTCTTTCATTCAGATACAAACTCTTTCATTCAGATACAAACTCTTTCATTCAGATACTCACTCTTTCATAAAGATACACACTCTTTCATTCAGATACAAACGCTTTCATTCAGATACAAACTCTTTCATTCAGATACAAACTCTTTCATTCAGATACAAACTCTTTCATTCAGATACAAACTCATTCAGATACAAACTCATTCAGATACAAACTTTTTCACTCAGATACAAACTCTTTCATTCAGATACAAACTCTTTCATTCAGATACAAACTCTTTCATTCAGATACAAACTCATTCAGATACAAACTTTTTCACTCAGATACAAACTCTTTCATTCAGATACAAACTCTTTTATTCAGATACAAACTAGCGAGAAGGTGACGACAGTAAAAGGCTGCCGATAAGTTCCTGCATCTTCACATGGGTTTTATGTTTACCAAAGTCCAGCATAATGATGCTGAAAGTATACCGACAGAGACTACGGGTCTAGGCATGTATAGATTAACAGTTCTTAATTAGTTATACTTTTTCTTATTTTACCTCCAATTATCGTGAGTAGACATTTGGAAGTCGTACATCAATATCGTCAAACTCGTTGATATTGTGTGTGTGTGTGTGTTTGGGGGGGAGGGGGGCGATGGAATTTGTGGTAAGGACAATAAGAGGGTTTAAACAAGTGTTTTTATATTTCTGTTTCTTATCCTAGTAATATCTTGTAGTCAAAGCTCGAACATTTTTCGAAATTTTGCCGTGAATAGTAACAAAAATCCTCAAAATTAATATTTTTACCTAGCTAATCGTCATCTGTTAGATTAGAGAGACAGAGAGAGAGAGAGAGAGAGAGAGAGAGAAAGAGAGAAAGAGGGAGAGAGTAAGAAAAAGAGAGAAAGAGCCGAACTATACTTTTGGAACGGAGGAAATTCTTTCGTTTGTGGCACATGCCGCCTTTTTAGCAACGTTACATAATTTAAAAAAAAAAGTTTTACATCAAAGCATTAGAAACATAAAACAGGTCAACTCTACTGCACCTGCATCGTAAGCTACCAGGTTCGCAAGGAAATATTGTTTTCTTACCGTAAATATTAATGAAAAAAACTGCAACAAAATGTAACAACTGTAATACAAAAAATAATTATCAAGATTTAGTGATTAGATAATTATATGGAGAGGTCGTAAAATAATTTCAACTCCCAGCTGCGAGTCAGTCACGTTAGATGCTAATAGTGTGACCTTAAGGGATAGCTGCTTCAAACAGACGCGAAAGCAATTTAAAGAAAACGTGGGAAAAATGTGGGACGCCATTGATGAACGACCCTTTGACTACAGAATGATTGGTCATTTGTGTTTCTCTACACGTGTGCTGGACGGGTGCTAGTGTGAGCAGATGTGTGTGACCGTTATCAAAGGGACGCGAAAGTTGAGTTTGTGGCTTTTAAATTTGATTTCTATATTGTAATCTCCCTTCTTAACATCAAAACACACACACACACACACGTATATATATATATATATATATATATATATATATATATATATATATATATATATATATATATATATATATATATATATATATGGTGACAGGACAAATGATATCGGGACAAATGATCTCGACAAAATATCTCAGACAAAATATCTCACGGACAAATGATCTCAGGACAAATGATCTCAAGGACAAACGATCTCAGGGACAAAAGATACCTGGACAAAATATATCAGGACAATTGATACCATGGACTATTGATCTCAGACAAAATATCTCAGACAAAATATCTCACAGCTGTAATTGATGTAGCTGTGATTGATGCAGCTGTGAATGATGTAGCTGTGATCGATGCAGCTGTGAATGATGTAGCTGTGATTACTGTAGCTGTGATATATGTAGCTGAGGTTGATGTAGAGTTAATTGCTGTAGTTGTTTATTGATGTAGCTGTGATGACTGTAGCTGTAATTGATGTAGCTGTGAATGATGTAGCTGTGATTACTGTAGCTGTGATATATGTAGCTGTGATTACTTTAGCTGTGATTGATGTAGCTGTGGTTGATATAGCTGTGATTGATGTAGCTTTGGTCGATGCAGCTGAAATTGATGTAGCTGTGATTGATGTAGCTGTGATTGATGTAGAATTAATTGCTGTAGCTGTGATTGATGTAGTTGTGATTACTGTAGCTGTTATTGACGTAGCTCTTATTGTTGAAGCTGTCATTGATATAGCTGTCATTGATATAGCTGTCATTGATGTAGCTGTCATTGATGTAGTTCTGTAAGCCACGAATCTGAGTGCGGCAAGCAGCCAAGAAAATCTTGCAAAATATTTTCCCCATCTAAATTTACGCGTATGGGAGTGAGTTAAATTGCCATTATCAGATGTGCACAGTATTAGAAGAAATCAATCGAATCAATTTCCTTCTTATATTCTTGCCATGTGGAAACGCAAGGTGTATCGTGGGATCGTGGAAAGAACACTTCAATGGACCGGCATCTCGACGTAAGCTGTGCCTCATCATCAAATGACAGTTTATACACGGACCTCTCGGGTAGGGTTTAAATATTTGATTAAATACCTTTTACATTTTACACTATTTTTTCTACTTATATTAATCAAGAGAGGACAACATTTCCACCTTAATTTTTGTGGCATCTTTAATTATCGTCTAACTCCTGTTTTAAAAATGATATTCACTAATATTAAAATAAATGTGGTTATACAAACTTGAAGTGTAGCTTGTGGGGTGAGTTCGTCTTCGCTTTATTCACACACACACACACACAAACATATATATACCGTATATTAAGAAAAACAAATCGCATTCTGCGGTGCCACAACTGCCAATTCGAATATTTTCCCCTAACAGAAACCTCCCCAGGAGTATTCTCAACAAATTCCCAAAGTTTCATGTCGATTGGATGAAAGGTGTAGTAATGCATAAAAGACAGACAACCAACAAATTAACACACACACACACACATGCATTGCATTATATATATATATATATATATATATATATTCTGCTGTAAAAATATTTTTTTTTAATATCGCAAGAGCGGCGCCACGGGAGGGTGCAATTCTTATCTATATACGTCTATTAAAAAATTGAAAGTTGGATGCGGTTTCGGCACAGTTTGTCCGAGTGCCATAAAACTTTGGGGAGTTGATGAATACTCCAGAGAAGATTGGGGGGGGGGGGGGGTAATTGGGCACGTGCGGCCTACGGCAGGATGCGATTTGGCGCCGTGGTATTTCCTTGAGCGCTTTTGGTGCCTTCGTTTTTTTTAAATAGTGAGATAGACAATGGAAAAGTGCATCGGCAGAGTAAGATTTAAAACCCCGGGCTATCCTGTTAGCGATATGACGCCTCCTACGTCCGTTACAAACTTTGCGAAAGACTATGTATAAGATTGTGTTTTAGAGTCGTTCACTATACATAATCAAGCGCGTCCACTGGCGCCCCGGCAGAGTACGATTTGGCAACCCGGGTTTTATTTGGGCAGTAGTGTAGGAAACCCATACCCTTATAAATATGACACAAACGAAGCCAGTGTTTACATTTAAATAACTCAGTTTTGGAAAACAAGGTCACGCGTCTAAAATATAGGATTGGTTCAGCATTGATAAAACCCTTCTAATATATTTCGTCAGATTTTGATTTTGTCTTTTATGCATTGCTACACCTTTCATCTGATCGCCATGAAACTTTCGGAAGTTGTTAAGAATACTACTGGGCAGGCTTCTGGGGGAAAAAAGAATTCAATTTCACACGGGTGGCGTCACGGCAGGGTGCGATTTGGCGCCCTGGATATCGCATGGACGGTCAAGCTAGTATTGAATCTAACTTTCACATATTATTTTTAAAAAATAAAAGTTGGAATATATAGATTCTACTTTCAAAACACCAACAGAAGTAAAGTTCCTTGCAATTTTTTTAAACTGAATTATTTTTAATTAAAATTTTTGTTCGCCAAAAATTATGAAAGTTTTCATCGATGTTAATTGTACTTAAATTAATGCTATAATATTGAAATTGAACGCATTTTCATTTTCCATTGCAAATCTTTTTTCCCATGGAACGTAATTTTTTGAAAGAAGCAAATAGTATATTTCAAATAAATTTTTTTTTAGAAATAATAACTAATAATTAAGTTTTAAGGGAATTTTTTATATCCTAATGTTTTCTTTATTTACATTTGTGTTGTAATAGTTATATATAAATAAATAAATAAATAAATTAATTAATTAATTAATATATATATATATATATATATATATATATATATAATGCCCCTTCTTCCATATACATGTAAGGCGGCAAGACAATAACTAGCAGGCCATATACTGTAAGGCACGAAGATAACCTAAGGGTGAGTCTGTATAAGAGCTCGTATGATAGGATTTAGTTTGTTGTTTTGTAGAATAGCTTGTAAAGTGATATACTTACATTACATTTAAGTATGGTACGGGTGGCTCAAATACAATTTTACAGGATTTTTAGAAAATCTAGTAACTCAATTTGGAACTCTTTTTAACTCTACGATTTTGTAACTTTCCAAATACATTAGTTTCGATAACACTGAAATAATTTCAAATGTTGAGTCTACTAGACATTTGATTAGTCTTTTATAATAATATATAATTAAAGATCCTTAAATTAGATAAAAAGTGTAGATTGAAAGATTATAAAGTATCAATTGCTTGACGACGGTGAACTGGTTCGTTTTTGCTTGAGATGCACCCACGGACTATGAATGTATAGATAACTGTCTTTTAGAGTTCGCCAGTTGCTAATCGTGTTTCAAAACTATTATCTCCGGAGATAAAAATTTTGCAGGAGTGAAAACATTGTGCTATTCCTATTTGATGCCACTAAATGTTTTTACTAAACAAATATGAGAGGAAACTACTTATTCTACAATAACATTTTAAAATTTAGTTTTATAATTTTAATGAAAATAAAGCAAATATTTTAAAAGTTAGTTTTTTGCGCGACCACGTACCATTTATTTAGTATAGCTGGTGTATGTTAAATGAAACGTTGCCAATATTACCCTGAACTTTAGTATAGCTATAATATAGTAAATAAAACGTTATTAAAATGTATTACCCTTAACTTTAAATCACAATCATTTCTTCCCAACCGCTTAAAACATAAGTTCCCCACTAGCTATTGCTTCCTCCATTAGTATTTGCGACTCCCTTGTTTTGGGTTAGTGGTAAATCTTGGTCAGTAGACGACCTACTGGGTGGACCTTGGTCAGTAGACGACCTACTGGGTGGACCTTGGTCAGTAGACTGGGTGGACCTTGGTCAGTAGACGACCTACTGGGTGGACCTTGGTCAGTAGACGACCTACTGGGTGGACCTTGGTCAGTAGACGACCTACTGGGTGGACCTTGGCCAGTAGACGACCTACTGGGTGGACCTTGGTCAGTAGACGACCTACTAGGTGGACATTGGTCAATTGACGACCTACTGGGTGGATCTTGGTAAGTAGACGACTTACTGGGTGGACCTTGGTCAGTAGACGACCTACTGGGTGGACCTTGGTCAGTAGTCGACCAACTAGGTGGACCTTGGTCAGTAGATGACCTACTGGGTGGACCTTGGCCAGTAGACGACTTACTAGGTGGACCTTGGTCAGTAGACGACCTACTAGGGTGACCTTGGTCAGTAGACTGGGTGGACCTTGGTCAGTAGATGACCTACTGGGTGGACCTTGGTCAGTAGACTGGGTGGACTTTGGTCAGTAGACGACCTACTGGGTGGACCTTGGTCAGTAGACTGGGTGGACCTTGGTCAGTAGATGACCTACTGGGTGGACCTTGGTCAGTAGACGACCTACTGGGTGCACCTTGGTCAGTAGACGACCTACTGGGTGGACCTTGGTCAGTAGTCGACCTACTAGGTGGACCTTGGTCAGTAGATGACCTACTGGGGGGACCTTGGCCAGTAGACGACCAACTAGGTGGACCTTGGTCAGTAGACGACCTTCTAGGTGGACCTTGGTCAGTAGACTGGGTGGACCTTGGTCAGTAGACGACCTACTGGGTGGACCTTGGTCAGTAGACTGGGTGGATCTTTGTCAGTAGACGACCTACTGGGTGGACCTTGGTCAGTAGACTGGGTGGACCTTGGTCAGTAGACGACCTACTGGGTGGACCATGGTCAGTAGATGACCTACTGGGTGGACCTTGGCCAGTAGACGACCTACTAGGTGGACCTTGGTCAGTAGACGACCTACTGGGTGGACCTTGGTCAGTAGACGACCTACTGGGTGGACCTTGGTCAGTAGACGACCTACTTTGTGGACCTTGGCCAGTAGACGACCTACTAGGTGGACCTTGGTCAGTAGACTGGGTGGACCTTGGTCAGTAGACGACCTACTGGGTGAACCTTGGTCAGTAGATGACCTACTGGGTGGACCTTGGCCATTAGACGACCTACTAGGTGGACCTTGGTCAGTAGACGACCTACTGGGTGGACATTGGTCAGTAGACGACCTACTGGGTGGACGTTAGTCAGTAGACGACCTACTGGGTGGACCTTGGTCAGTAGACGACCTACTGGGTGGACCTTGGTCAGTAGACGACCTACTGGGTGGACCTTGGTCAGTAGACGACCTACTGGGTGGACCTTGGTCAGTAGACTGGGTGGACCTTGGTCAGTAGACGACCTACTGGGTGAACCTTGGTCAATTGACGACCTACTGGGTGGACCTTGGTCAGTAGACTGGGTGGACCTTGGTCAGTGGACGACCTACTGTGTGGAAATTGGTCAGTGGACGACCTTCTGGGTGGACCTTGGTCAGTAGACGACCTACTGGGTGGACATTGGCCAGTAGACTGGGTGGACCTTGGTCAGTAGACGACCTACTGGGTGAACCTTGGTCAATTGACGACCTACTGGGTGGACCTTGGTCAGTAGACTGTGTGGAAATTGGTCAGTGGACGACCTTCTGGGTGGATCATGGTCAGTAGACGACCTACTGGGTGGACCTTGGTCAGTAGACGACCTACTGGGTGGACCTTGGTCAGTAGAAGACCTACTGGGTGGACCTTGGTCAGTAGACGACCTACTGGGTGGACCTTGGTCAGTCAACGACCTACTGCCTCGACCCGGCTATCCGAGCATGTGATTTTTTTGTTCTACAGCTAGACCACATGCCGTTCTAGAGCTAGACCATGCCGTTCTACAGCTAGACCATGCCGTTCTACAGCTAGACCATGCCGTTCTACAGCTAGAACATGCCGTTATACAGCTAGACCATGCCGTTCTAAAGCTAGACCATGCCGTTCTACAGCTAGACCATGCCGTTCTACAGCTAGACCATGCCGTTCTACAGCTAGACCATGCCGTTCTACAGCTAGACCATGCCGTTCTACAGCTAGACCCTGCTGTTCTCCAGAAACAGCCGATGTTGCATTAAAATTTATTAACGTAGATTTTTAATAACATTAAATTTTAATAACGGTAGATTTTAATAACGTTAGATTTTAGTAACGTTAGATTTTAATAGCGTTAGATGTTAATAACTGATCTATCTATAATAATAGTTTCGCTGTCTGTGTATCTATCTATCTATCTATCTGTCTGACAAGTACGCTCTAGAGAAAACACAAGCAAAAATTCTATCTGACAAGAACGCTATAGAGAAAACACAAGGAAATTAAAAATTTCCGCAGTGAAACGAAAGACGAAGTATGACGTCGTATAGTAGAAAATAATCTCAAGCCGGAGAGTGCACACAGTAATATGACGTCATTGATTCTCGAGTAAACATTGAATAAAAAGGAAATTGTGTCTAATCTAAATGGTTTGCGTGAAGAGTTTCTTGCATACAATTCTTCGGGTAGGGGCGAAGCCCCACCCCCCGCGTAAGAGCGTCTGAGCCCCCCCTCCCCAACTCAAAAGAAATTTCTTCATCGATACTCTATAATAAAATTACCGCCTAATTAATGTGTCTAATCTAAAAAGTGGTTTTCTTGCAATTTCTTTAATGCAATTCTTCGGGTAGTGGCTAAGCGCGACACCAGTGTTTCTTTCAGACTTTTTCCTCACCGGAGAGGGGTGGGGATACTTGAAATTTTCGGGGGCGGGGTAGAATTTTCGGGGAGGGGGCGGACACTGGAAAAAGTATATAATTATATTTCGTTGAATGGGACGGTAGACATGTTTTTTTGGGGGGTGGGGGGTGGGGGTGGGGTGGGGGGTGGTGTGTGTGTTTGTGGGGGGGGGGTGTGTGGGGGGGGGGGTGGGGGTGGGGTGGGGGGTGGTGTGTGTGTTGGGGTGGGGGGTGGTGTGTGGGGGGGGGGGGTGGGGGTGGGGGGGTGGTGTGTGTGGGGTGGGGGTGTGGGGGTGGGGGTGGGGGTGGGGGTGGTGTGTGGGGGGGTGGGTTGGTTTTAGTTTAGAGAAAAGAGACAGCACTATCAGCCTAGCGCCCGTTGTATCCTTCCTCAACGGGCCATTTTTCTCGTGTTAATATATTAACAATTTCTGCAACTAGACTATCTGCTACAAATGAGGACTGAATTGGCTTATTTGGTGCGTTCAGTAACTTTACTCAAGTCAATGGTTATACAAACCACATTTGATGAACATTAAAAAAAAATAACTGATTCGTCTATCATCAAAGTCTACCGTTAATACTAAACTATTTCCTTCTTATATTTGCCTAGCGTCAAAATTTAAAATGATGCTTGTTATGTAATCATTGCCCACCCACCCTCGTCTTGTCAACTACTTCATTCTGCCCATACTCGCACCACACATAGGCTATTCTATATCAACAAACATATTCAAGTCGATGCACTCTAACCCATTATTTATTTTTTTCCGTAATTATTCTAAATCCCTTACAGCAATTAAGTCATTAATCGACTGTTTAGTGGGAAGTGACATTGTGTATACTTTGTTATGTAACATGTTATTATACCAAATGTTTATGCAACATGAACTTCTTTTTTTTCCAAGTGCATACCACCAAGGATTGATCTGCTACTGATCGGAAAAACCGGAAATGGCAAAAGTGCGACTGGAAACACAATAATAAGAGAATGGACGTTTGAAAGCGAGTCAAATACGTCTTCGTTAACCAAACAATTCTACAGCGCGACTACAGAACACAACGGTCGTCCGTTAAAAGTCGTGGATGGTCTGACAGTTTGTGACACCAGGCTGGACAGAGAACGGTCAGTTGAGCAGTTGACTGAGGCCGCTAAGTTGGCTCTGGCAGCCAATCCTGAAGGCTATCATGCTTTTCTTCTGGTGCTTAAATATGGGAACAGGTTCACTCGTGAAGAAAAGGACGCGGTTGATGCCTTAAAAAACGTCCTTGGAGAAAATTTCCTGAGGAAATACTGTATTTTAATTATGACATGCGGGGATATTTTCAAGGAAGAACAGCGTGGAACCATTGACAAGAGAACGACTTTCCCCCAATGGTGCGAAAAACAAGACGGCGCCTTTAAAGAGTTGCTAGAAGAATGCGACAATAGGCTCATCTTATTCGACAACAGCACTCAGGTCGAACAGGATATAGCGAAACAAATCGACGCATTAATAAATAAAGTCGATGAGATGCTAAGCGATCGCCGCTATACCAACATGAGCTTTGAAAAGGTTCAGAAAACTAAAACCAACATCATCACAAACCCGATCCAAAATATGATCCAAGATGAGGTAGAAACTAGATCAGAAGTCGAGCAGACACAAGTCACAAACAGCCGTATTCAGAATGAAGATTTGTTGTCATGTGAAAGTAGTCAAAGTATGCCTGTCACGTATTCACCACTTGACTGCCCAGATTCTCCACCCAAATTGGCATTCGTGCTGAAAGATAAAAGTGAGGAATACGAAAATCTGATTAAAGAACTCGAACTCATTAAGAAAAAACAACAAGAAATCGAAGAGAGTTTCCAGAAAAAAATTGAAGAAATGGAGCAGAGAATGCGAGACAAAGATGGCGAGTATCGAGAGACAGCAGAGGTATTGGAACATGAGACAGTAGACTTAGTCAAACTTGACAGGATGTTGAGTCAAACCAATACTGTCCAGGTCTTACTGGCCAAGCAGGAAGAATTTTCTGGAGCTCTTCAAGACCTGAGTCAAACCTTGGAATCTCTACAAAAACAGTCTGATGAAAACGCTATATCTCGCAGATGTATTGAAGAAATACAACAAAGTCGACCACAGGAAGAAGAAATGAAACAGGTCTTCGATAAAGAGCTGAAAAATCAAAGAGAGGATTGTGAAAATCGAATTGACGACTTAAAAGGTGATGAGCAGCAAAGGAGGGAAATAGAACGTAATCATCAGAAGATATTTGAAGATCTGGTGCAAGAGAGGCGAGACACGGAGCACGGACGTCAAACGATTCCCAGAGTAATGGACTCGGCAGGACAAGCACAGCAAGAAGAGGGAACGTTTGACCTCAAAAATAATCTTTCGTAAAGCTTAAAACAGGTACAGGAAGGACTGAAGCAAATGGAGTATACACAGATAAACTTAAGTCAGCAACTGTCTTAAGTTCAGGTGACTTAAGTTAGCGAATGTATTAAGTTCAGTTGACTTAAGTCAGCGACTGTCTTAAGTTCAGCATTGCCTTAACCTTGTGTCACTTATGAGCTTTGTAAGTAAAAGTTCCGTTACTTTATACCGGTGTTGGCACCACAAAGTATGTGTTGTTTAGGCGGCGGAGTTATTTTTCTCACATTATAATTAAAATAAAGTTACAGCGCTGCCTGTTTGCAAAAAAAACAACAAATTAACTTATTTTACTTTCTTAAATATTGTAAAGAAAATGTTTATTTTCCTAATTCACCATTTTTAAAAAAATCATTTCTGTTAAGAGCTAATTAATTGACATATAAAGAATACAGTACTCTTACAGTCTAGACTGTGTTTTTAAAAGTATCAAAACCGTTGCAATAAATTTCTTTTTCTTTCTTTCCTTCTATTTGGCCTTATGGTTGAAATGTTAGCACCTGTTTGGTGCTGTACTTTATTACTTTTTAGGTATTACATTAATTCACAGTGGACCCTCGAGCACGGTTATCACTGTCACACTAGTTTACATTTATTTAATTCAAAAATTCGATTTCACATTAATTGTTAATCCTCAGGGTGGATGAAAGAAGGCAGTGATTTAAACTTCAATTGTCGTGAAATATTGGGCTAAAGAATTGTGTATGAGAGGATGACTTATTAAAGAACAGAGTTAGCTAAAGAAAACTCTTTAGGCTGGATATTAAAATACATTGTTAGCTCCACGTATATAATCATTTAATCGAATAACTAATCAATAAAAATTTTGGCAAACATTACAAAATCGAATTTGTAAATTATAGCTTGTTGGAAATATTAGGATAAAATAAATTTTTTATAAATATTTTACATTAAGAAACGCTAGAAATTATTTTAAAATAATGTTTTCGTCGGTATCTTTGTACATCTCTGTATGGATACAGACGCGATGCTGGAAGCTGTGAAATAGACCACCATGCAAGGTTTTGAATAACTTTTACGGTGTTCAAGTATCTTTGTGGCAGGTACACATTAGAGCATCAATAGTCAGGGAGACCCGGGTATCAACGATCAAACCTGACATGTTGATACATAGCCTAAACACAAGTTCAGAACTGACTAGTTGATACACAACCCGAATACATTAAGGCCTAACTGAAGGCTAAATGGTTGGCTTTTACTATCAAAACATCCTTAATTATTTGAATACTACAGTTTTCTGTAACCGCTTCGTTTGCTTTCAGCTTTCATTCGTTTTTTACTTTCTCGTATATACGAAGTATAGAGAAAGTCTTGTAATCGTGCAAAAAAAAAATCGAGATTGTTACAAATCTCGACGTTTTACACCTCACTGATGCGGAAAAACATAATTTTGCAATCTTGTCCGTATGTCTGTGTGTCTGTCTGTCTCTGTCTGTCTGTCTGTCTGTGTGTCCGTGTGTAAACATGATAACTTGAGTACCGTTACAGCTAGGTTGATGAAATTTCACATATAAGTATTTTATCAAAATCGTAGATCCGTATCGACATTTGAACGATTTCCGATAACCGGAAGTGGTACTTTTCCTACTTTGAATTTTTCAAAAGCCTATAACTTGAGTACTATTTCAGATAGATAAATGAAATTTCACATGATAGTAAAAGATCTAATTCTCTACCTTCTGTTAAATTTTGAGTAATTTTCGTTGACCGGAAGTAGTAATTAACGCTACTTTCGTTTTCTCAAAAAACTAATGTAAATTTTAAAAGTACTAATAATATTGCGCACTATTATGCGTTTTTTGATTTGGCGTTCACTTGGTGTGCAATTAATTTGTCTACGAGATTTTATTCTATTTTTAAATCTTTAAGTATTTAAAATGGATTAAAAATCATGTCTATAGCCCGAGTTCCCATCCCCTGTTATTTTATATAAGAATATTCGAGAAAGTTTAGGAGAGATCACTCCCTGATTTTTTAATATAGCTCTGTGGTCGATTTCTATCCCCCCCCCCCCTTACCCACCTTTAATCATTACAAATATACTCATATTTAAAGCGATATTCATTAATTCTCTCTCGCCCACATTACTAGTTTTGATCGAATTTACGACTAAGGTTTTACCTAGTCCTACCATCTTGGTGTTGTGAGTACATAGACCACATAAACTGTTAGTACTCAAGTAAATATACGCTAGTAAATGTAAAGTTGTAGATAAAGTTTTAACTATTCGCAAAATAAACTGTTAAATTAATTACACGATCATAATCAATGTTTATTTCAAGGAGAGAAAAAAATCGCAATAAGTCGTAACGATGGTAACGGTCGAATTTTGCCGGAGAAAGTGTAACGTTTTAAAATTGCATGCAGGTGTATAGCAAAGTATCCATCGTGCATATGTTGGTAAAATTGTCCACTCTTTGACGTACAATTACAGATAAAACGTTTGAATGGATTTTCTATTGGTATTTGATTGTTGAAGCATTTACCCCCCCCCCCCCCCCCAGTGTTCAAAACTGTTCAGAAAATTAATGCAACAGAAACTCTACTCACATGTGTAATTAATATTTATTGTTTGACAACAAAACCAAAGACGAGTTGCAAATAATTGAACAAATCGACCAGTTGATTGAAATAGTCGATGTGTTGGTATTTCGTGATCGACGATATACAGAAGCAAATTATAAGAATGTCCAGAAAACTAAAGACCGCATCACCGAAGCTGGACAACCTCGAATAACCGTCAAGACCGTGCAACCAGCGATCCCAAATGTTCATCCAAGACAAGACACACCAAACTCTGTTGATACAGTAGACGCAATCCTACGCAACATGATGCTGAGTCTAACTACATCCGTGCATGACACACTGGAAAAACAGGAAGAATTTTCAGGGACTATTATTAGAAAAATGGTATCTTCACAATTAAAGATTTCCGATGCAAGATCTGAAATAAGGAAACAAATGCGACAACGGGAAGCAGAAAGGAGACTGATTATGTCTGAATTACAATTGGACAAGCCTACAGAAACATATGAAAACCTGTGTGAAAGACGGGACTTAGAAAGTTATAAAACAGAGTAAAGTGGATCAAAATTGCTGCTGAAGAGCATGCTGCAGTTACGGGAATCTATGATGCGTTTGTCCTATATGTAACTATTCAGATATCAGTGATTTTCTAGAGTTCAGACATGTGACTTAATGGTATGTTCTTTCATGGCGTTTTAGTCGTTACTCCAATTACATATCAGAGTGGGTGTGTTTAATGTGATATTTTACAAATAAGATTACTTCTTGGCACATTCTAATTCAACATTAAATCTTAAGCATTTTTTTATCGTAGTGATATCGTAAGTTCGTTACCCTAATGCATTATCATATTAGTTTTGTTGAGTTTATTAAGTAAAATCTTAAACCGTGCAAAATGTTGGCGTTCTATTCGTTAATCGCAATTTGTTATGACTGTCTACCTATCACCTTTCAATGAAAAGAAATGTTATTTAAGTTATTATTATGAAATTTAAATTAAACATTGCAAAACCAGCAATATTTATCATCTTATATTATTAATATATTAATTAACTTAAGAGTTTTCCTTCATACCATCATTACATTTAATAATTTAATTTAATAACAATTCAAAATATAATGTCGGCAATTTACATTTGTAAAACTTTAAGCACGTTTTACTGATTCTCTTGCTCACAACAAATCCGAGAGCATGGGAAACCTAGCTACTCACGATCAAACCTGACTAGCATATACATAGACTGGACACAAGATCAAACCTGACTAGTGGATACACAACACAAGATCAAACCTGACTAGTTGATACACAAGATCAAACCTGACTAGTGGATACACAACACAAGATCAAACCTGACTAGTTGATACACAAGATCAAACCTGACTAGTGGATACACAACACAAGATCAAACCTGACTAGTTGATACACAAGATCAAACCTGACTAGTTGATACACAAGTTCAAACCTGACAAGTTGATAAACAACACAAGATCAAACCTGACTAGTTGATACACAGCACAAGATCAAACCTGACAAGTTGATACACAACACAAGATCAAACCTGACTAGTTGATACACAGCACAAGATCAAACCTGACTAGTTGATAAACAACACAAGATCAAACCTGACTAGTTGATACGCAACACAAGATCCAACCTGACAAGTTGATACACAACACAAGATCAAACCTGACTAGTTGATACACAACAAAATATCCAACCTGACTAGTTGATACACAACACAGGATCAAACCTGACAAGTTGATACACAACACAAGATCAACCCTGACTAGTTGATTCACAACACAAGATCAAACCAGACTAGTTGATACACAGCACAAGATCAAACCTGACTAGTTGATACACAACACAAGATCCAACCTGACAAGTTGATACACAACACAAGATCAAACCTGACAAGTTGATACAAAACACAAGATCAAACCTGACTAGTTGATACACAACAAAATATCCAACCTGACTAGTTGATACACAACACAGGATCAAACCTGACAAGTTTATACACAACACAAGATCAACCCTGACTAGTTGATACACAACACAAGATCAAACCTGACTAGTTGATACACAACAAAATATCCAACCTGCCTAGTAGATACACAACACAGGATCAAACCTGATTAGTTGATACACAACACAATATCAAACCTGACTAGTAGATACACAACACAAGATCAAACCTGACAAGTTGATAAACAACACAAGATCAACCTGACTAGTAAATACACAAGATCAAACCTGACTAGTTAATACACAACACAAGATCCAACCTGACTAGTAGATACACAACACAAGATCAAACCTGACTAGTTGATACACAACACAAAATCAAACCTGACAATATGATACACAACGCAAGATCAAACATGACTATTTGATACACAACACAAGATCAAACCTGACTAGTATATACACAAACTGGAAAGAAGATGGGGAGTCAGGAAAGCTGCAACCTTCTGGTAAAATCAGCCAGCTTCTGTTGTTCTACTTGTGGATTGTTTGAACTAATTGACTGAGTTCTAGGCACTCTCTTATGTGTTAGTGTGTTTTTTACCTCGTGAATTAAAAGATCAGCTGGCGCGCACATGAAGTCGTGTTACTAAACGTATCGTAGCTACAAATTAGATCAACAACATTAGATCAAACAATGACACATTGCCGGTGAGTTTTTTAAAAAATGATTTGCTATTTTTATTTGTATCCCATTTTACACCAACATCATGGATTCTCCACTGCGAGCTCAAAGCCTACACGTTTATGTTTAAGGTTGCACACCATGTTTGTGATTAAGATTGCACACTATGATTTGAAAAGAGAGCACTAGTTCTGATTTGCGCGGTACGCGGAAATGAACAGTTGTATTTCCATCATCTTGTCCACGAACAACATTTAAAGTGATATTAATGAGAACATCCATTTAAAGTTTAAAAATTCGATCGGCCAGAGGTTTACACGGTAATAAAATACATATGTTAACTTTACAAACGATGTTTGGTAATCTCACGATATAGCGTCGGAAATTATCTGGTAATGTTTGTTGAGTTTCGGGAACATTCGTTACTGTAAACCATAGTTTATTTGACCGTTGAAATAAGAATAAAATCTAGCGCATTAAACTAATGTTTAACTTAATTTTATGTTTAATTGACAGAAAATGAGCAACAATTAGTAAATCTGAATATTATTAATGAAGTCAAGTGTAGTAATTAATCTCTTTTTAATAAAGAAACAAAAAAAAAACTTGCAGAAGATTTGCGACAACTACATCTAGATTTAGTAAAATAAGACGATTAGATTTACTATAATTAAAAGTAGAGAAGAACTAGAACAATGTTCAGTTGCAGCAATAATTAGCACATACACTTAAAATAAATAGAAATACAAAATAATTAGCAAAACAGTATTTAAAATGCAATCAAAATCAATCCATGCACATTTTAAAACATTATGTATTAAAAATAATATGGCGGCAAATAAATGATGGTTTACAGTATTTTCGGTGGTTTCCGGAACGGCTCGGGAGACTACGCCATGGCTTTACTTTTTTTTACTGCTGTACAATTCCGGAATAATAACCGACGCTCTATCTTAATTTTACTCAATATTTAACATGAACAGATTTCTTATAGTTCATGTACCATGTAATTCAGACTTCTTCCAAACGTCCAAAAATATTGAGTCATACTGTCCATCTAATCACTAATGGACGCGAGCGAGAAGGTATTCGAGAAGCCCATTAATTAATTTAAAAATCGTGCAAGGCTTAGTTACAATTAATATGGTTATACAATCCAGTCAGTCTGGTTTTTTTCGGACTTTACTGAAGATTGAATGTATTTGATGTTTTTAATATTTTTGGTAACTAAATAAAAAATAAAAAAGCAAAAATTATTTGGTTTTCACGTGTAATGGCGACATAAACAATTTCATCCTGCTATTTGATAGGCTGCCATAAAATTTATTGTAAACATTGTAAGCGAAAACAAAGAAAAACTATGTCATGGGGTCTAAATTTGCATTGTTTTTTTTAAAACTGTTTCTGCAAAGTTTTGTAAACAAAGAGTTGTCGATCACGGAGACAATATTTGTCTTACGAAAGTGAAAATAAATAAAAATGTAGCCTTAAACTCAACAAATTATTTTCAAGTTCTCTGGAGTTGCAACTTTTATAGCATTGATTCTAAAAATTTAAAATTTCTGAATTAATTTTAAGCTTACGTTTTTATTTTTACGGTCGCTTTGTTTACTAAATCTAAAAAAAAGCACGTTTTTAATCCTGTCATTAACATGATGGGAGGAGTTAACTCGCTCGCGCCCGTTAAACGGGTTTTAAACCATAGAAAACAACCGCAGTTTTCATTTAAACTCAGAGCCAGTGGATGTGCTAAGCTCAGAGCGGTGGATGTGCTAAGACAGCACAGTTTACCGAGCTTTCACATTTAACATTTTCCTAAATTGTGTAGACACGTGCCTACTATTCTACCATGCGTGTGTGTGTGTGTGGGGGGGGGGGGGTTATTCAACTCTTTTAATGATGATCTATCTGTTTAAAGAGATGACAGGCTGAAAAGGGGGGGGGGGGGGTGGGGCTAGAAAAACTTATTTTATCACTTTTATAAATATCTTGCTTTTTTTTCAAAGAATTGTGTATACTAGTATGCGGTGGGTTGAAGGACATAATTTTAAACTGTAAAAGCTCTCTTACTTTGCAACATGTATAGACAGATACGATGATTTGAAGGGAGGTGATTTTGATCCTAATGGGAAGAACCCTTTAGCTATGTTAATGAAGAGGAATGTGAATATATTGCTTTGAGCAGGTAACGTATTAAGTTTTGATTCTCACTAAGTTTCTTGTTTTCTCTATTTGTACATAGAATAACTTGGTTCACGCCTGCAAACAGTGATTCTCTCATATGGATATAGTAATTCAGTATTTAGTTTAGATACTGCACATGAAATCAACTAGAGCACTATGCTAGCGTACAAGAAGGACATAGAGTTCCACATGACTGTTACAGTAGACCAATCCAGATACAACAAGACGTTACCAAGTGAGCTGTAGTGCACCCTAAGGAGTCGGGATAATCTCGTTTTATACGTAATCTTGCGCAACATTGCAAGTAAATATGCTCTCTCAAATCTGGTGGTCCAGGTGGAGTAGAGTTCACCTATTTATGTGACTTAGGCATATGACGTGACCATAAATAGGGTCAGATACCCATCAGAACTGGTTTATTGCAGCGACATTATAAGTTCTCGAAATCTAGTGCTGAAGATATTAAATGACCGTATTGTTATCAGTGTTTCTTGCAGACGTTTTTCTCCGGGGGGTGGGGGAATTTTCTCATTGGCGGACAACATTTTACGGGCGCACTGGTAAAAATATATGTTTTCTATATAGATTCCATTTCGTTCAATGAAGAGCGGTAGACGTTCTTCGAAGAGATGCCTGAAAGAAACTCTGATTGTTTTATCTATGGTTGTGTTTGTCTGAGTATTAAAGCGTGTAATTTTGCCAATGTAAAAAGTTGCCAAATATTTTCCCCATTTAGAAACTACAAACGACAGTAATGCGAAGCACAAATTACTAATACTTTATTCTTAGGTGTGCGAAATATTTAAAGTAATACATTAAATCTACTTAATTTTTTTAAACAGATAAATCTTGTTGTGTTGACGAGAAGCTGAAAAGTGTTCTTCAAAAATGGTACCAGGTAGCCTATAGTTTAATTTCTACAAATAGATTTTGAAAATTAAATTATAATGTTTATAATGTACTTGCTTAATCCTCGTCACTCCCTGATGAGTAAAGGGCAGCAACACATCTTCGCCATTCCACTCTGTCCTGGGCGCGCCACTTTAATTCATGCCAGGTCTTGCCAGTAGCCTGCACTTCTTCCATCTCTCTCCTCCATGCTCCCACTTTATTATTTAACTGCTTCGAATCAAAGTGACCACATCAGGCTCCTAAGCGTTAGTGATCATTCGTATATATTTTCAACATGTGTTTAAAATGATGTTAGTGCTGTGATTACCATAGTTTTACTTTAAGGATACATGCTTAACCCACACCAGTGGTTCCCATACAGAGCAGTACCGCTACCCGAGAATGGGAATGCTAGGGTTGGTGTTTTGGTTAAAAGAAAAATGTATGACATTGAGAGGTTTGAAGCTTCACCTTGTGTCTTCTACAAAGACAGTTCAGAAAGGTTTGCTCTAAGAACAGCATCAACGACAACAGATTGTCGACTGCGGAAAAGAACCTTAGGCCGCTAAATCATGAATACTTTCTGTGAATGCGAATCGCCGCCTTTGTATATAAAACTATAAAAATTAACAGCTTAGTGGGCAAGAGGAAAAGAGTAGGCGATGAATGTATATATATATATATATATATATATATATATATATATATATATATATATATATATATATATATATATATATATATATATATATATTCAAATATGTATGTAAGTAAAATTACTACTTCTATTTAACGGAAATCATTCCAAATTTGACAGAAGGCAGAGAATTTGATCTTTTATTTACATGTGAAATTTCATTTAACTATCTGAAATAGTACTCAAGTTATAGTCTTTTTGAAACATTGACAGTAGAAAAAGTTCTACTTCCGTTTATCGGAAATCGCTCAAAAATTGATACGTATCGACGATTTTGAAATAATACTTAAATATTAAATGTTATCAACTTAGCTTTAACGGTACTCAAGTTATCGTGTAACAGACATACGCAGACACATAATCAGACATACACACACACATACAAAAACACACAGACATACGTACAAGATTGCAAAACTATGCTTTTCCGACTCAGGGATGTGTAAAACATCGAGATTTGTAAAAATCTCGAATTTTTTTGCACGATTACAAGACTTTCTCTATACTTCGTAAATAGATCTACGAGAATGTAAAAATCAAGCACTATTTCCGCTTCAGTTATTAATGAACTGTAATTTTTAACTCCCAATAGTAAAAGAGAAATCTTGTTTAATTAAATAAAAGTAAATAAGTAATAAAAGTAATAAGTAAAATAAACCGAGAGTGATCTCCCCTAAACTTTCTCGAATATTCTAATATATCACAACGTGGGATCGCAATTCGGAATATAGACATGATTTTTGTTTACTTAAACTTTTAAAAATAGAGTAAAATCTAGTAGAAAACAGAATTATTAGTACTTAATAAATTTACATGCGTTTTTTGAGAAATAGGAAATAGCGTAAATTAGTACTTCCGTTCAACAGAAATTATTCAAAACTTGACAGAAAGTAGAAAATTAGATTTTTTACTTACAAGTAAAATTTCATTTATCTATCTGAAATAGAACTCAAGTTATAGGCTTTTGAAAAATTCAAAGTAGAAAAAATACCACTTCCGGTTATCGGAAATCGCTGAAAAGTTGATCAGGATCTACGATTTTGATAAAACACTTATATATGAAATTTCATCAATCTAGCTGTAACGGTACTCAAAATATTGTGTTTACACACACACAGACAGACACACAGACATACGGACAAGATTGCAAAATTATTTTTTTCCGTATCAGTGAGGTGTAAAACGTCGAGATTTGTAAAAATCTCGATTTTTTTTTTTTGCACGATTACAAGACTTTCTCTATACTTCGCATATACGAGAAAGTAAAAAAGCTAACGTAGTTTCTGTCTATTGAATGGTTTTCTAAATGGATTTTGAAGGTTTAGTCAAAAATGTTATGAAATATTACACGATCTTGCATGGGGGGGGGGGGGGGGGCACTTGATATTTTCGAGGGGGGAGGGGGCCGGGGGCGGACTAAATTTTCCGAGGTGGCGAACACTTGTAAAAGTATGTATTTTCTATATAAATTCCATTTCAGGCGGGCGTCCATATTGTAACAGACCACCGTGCATGAACGCTGTTGGACGTTCGTATGGATGCCTGTTTAATGGATGCATTCCAGGTAATATATCGGGCAATCTGCAGAGTTTTGAGAATTATAATAGGCCTAAACTTTCTCCAATATTCTTACATAAAACAACATGAGATGGAAACTCGGGATACAGACATGATTGTTCATCCATTTTAATACTTTGTTTTTTTAAATTAGAATAAAATCTCTAGAAAAAAGAATTGCACACCAAGTGAACGCCAAATAAAATGTGCATAATATTGCAGAATTATTATTAGTAGGCTTACTTTATAAATTCACAAGCGTTTTTGTGAAAACGGAAATAGCAGCAAAAGTTACTACTTCCGTTCAACGGAAATTATTCCAAATTTAACAGAAGGCAGAGAATTTGAACTTTTACTTACATGTGAAATTTCATTTATCTATCTGAAATAGTACTAAAGTTATAGATTTTTGAAAAATTGAAAGTAGAAAACGTTACGCTTCCGGTTATCGGAAATTGCTGAAATGTTTACACGGATCTGCGATTTTGATATAATACTTATATTTGAAATTTCATCAACTTAGCTGTAACGGTGCTCAACCTAGTTGTAACTGTACTCAAGTTATCGTGTTTACAGACACACACATACACACACACACACAAGCTTGCAAAACTATGTTTTTCCTCAGGGAGTCGTAAAATGTCCAGATTTCGATTTTTTTTGCGCGGTTACAAGACTTTCTCTATCCTTCGTGTATACGGTAAAGTAAAAATCAAGCACTATTTCCGTTTCAGTTATTAATGAACTGATATAGTTAACTCGCCTAGCAAAAGAAAAATCTAGTTTCAGTTTAAAAGCCAAAATAAGTTAACGCAGCTTATGTATATTGAATGGTTTTCTAAATAGATTCCGAAGTTTTAGTCAAAAACGATCTTGCGTAATTCGAGTTTAACACATGCAGTGTTTCTTTCAGACTTTTTCTCCGGGGAGGGGGGAGGTGTTCACTGGATATTTTATTTTGGTGGCGGACAAAATTTTCCGGGGCGGCGAACAAGTGAAAAAGATTATATTTTCTATATAAATTCCATTTCAGGCCCACGTCCCTACAGGCCACCTGGCCTGAATCCGTATGGAAGTCCTAATGAATACGGTATGTTTAACAATCCATGTGATACATCGTCTCATCTGTGTTTTGAGACATGTAATAGGCCTACTTTAAGACCAACTGGGAAACATGGTGACTATGGAAGCTGTAATTGCTGTAGCTGTAATTGATGTAGCGGTGATTGATGTAGCTGTGATTGCTGTAGCTGTGATTGCTGTTGCAGTAATCGATGTAGCTGTGATTGATGTAGATGTGATTGCTGTAGCAGTGATTGATGTAACTGTGTTTGATGTAGCTGTGAATGATGAAGCTGTGATTGATGTAGCTGTGATTTATGTAGCTGTGATTGATGTAGCTGTGATTGATGTAGATGTGATTGCTGTAGCACTGATTGATATAACTGTGATTGATGTAGCTGTGATTGGTGAAGCTGTGATTGATGTAGCTGTGATTGATGTAGCTGTGATTGATGTGTTCACTGGATATTTTATTTTGGTGGCGGACACAATTTTCCGGGGCGGCGAACAAGTGAAAAAGATTATATTTTCTATATAAATTCCATTTCAGGCCCACGTCCCTACAGGCCACCTGGCCTGAATCCGTATGGAAGTCCTTATGAATACGGTATGTTTAACAATCCATGTGATACATCGTCTCATCTGTGTTTTGAGACATGTAATAGGCCTACTTTCAGACCAACTGGGAAACATGGTGACTATGGAAACTGTAATTGCTGTAGCTGTAATTGATGTAGCGGTGATTGATGTAGCTGTGATTGATGTAGTTGTGATTGATGTAGCAGTCATTGATGTAGCTGTGATTAATGTAGATGTGATTGCTGTAGCTGTGATTGCTGTAGCAGTAATTGATGTAGCTGTGATTGATGTAGATGTGATTGCTGTAGCAGTGATTGATGTAACTGTGATTGATGTAGCTGTGAATGATGAAGCTGTGATTGATGTAGCTGTGATTTATGTAGCTGTGATTGATGTAGCTGTGATTGATGTAGATGTGATTGCTGTAGCAGTGATTGATATAACTGTGATTGATGTAGCTGTGATTGGTGAAGCTGTGATTGATGTAGCTGTGATTGATGTAGCTGTGATTGATGTGTTCACTGGATATTTTATTTTGGTGGCGGACACAATTTTCCGGGGCGGCGAACAAGTGAAAAAGATTATATTTTCTATATAAATTCCATTTCAGGCCCACGTCCCTACAGTCCACCTGGCCTGAATCCGTATGGAAGTCCTTATGAATACGGTATGTTTAACAATCCATGTGATACATCGTCTCATCTGTGTTTGAGACATGTAATAGGCCTACTTTAAGACCAACTGGGAAACATGGTGACTATGGAAGCTGTAATTGCTGTAGCTGTAATTGATGTAGCGGTGATTGATGTAGCTGTGATTGATGCAGCTGTGATTGATGTAGCAGTCATTGATGTAGCTGTGATTGATGTAGATGTGATTGCTGTGGCTGTGATTGCTGTAGCAGTAATTGATGTAGCTGTGATTGATGTAGATGTGATTGCTGTAGCTGTCATTGCTGTAGCAGTAATTGATGTAGCTGTGATTGATGTAGATGTGATTGCTGTAGCAGTTATTGATGTAGCTGTGATTTATGTAGCTGTGAATGATGAAGCTGTGATTGATGTAGCTGTGATTTATGTAACTGTGATTGGTGTAGCTGTGATTGATGTAGAT